TGGCTACAACTCCCATCATTCTTCATGCTGATGCTAGCCAGGGGGCCAGCATGATGCTGATGGGAATTACAGTCTAACAAGACCTGGAAGCCCATGCGTTGCCCACTGGTGATCTCTACAGAAAACATCCATGATACTGGAAACATCTGGAATAGACTGGATAGAAAAGTAGGTCTGAAAATTAGATACATGGCCAACATCCAGCACTGTTGGAATCACTGGGCCATGTGTGCCTCTTTCTTTACACTGGCTTATATGAAATCTTCTTTTTCCATTTCTTCAGTTTAAACTTATGGCATATGCAAATATCTTTGCCTATTGTATTAATATTATTAGTTGTTGTTGTAGTCTAAAAGACATTAGATTTTTTAGAGAAAATATGAAATCTATCATTAGGCCTTAAATTTGACTGTGGTGGGAAAAAAACCCTCCTATAGTTACAACTGGTAAGACTGCCAAGAGACAACAGAGTTGATAAAAAATAGACATTTCCTTTGATAACAGAACAGTTTGGAATCATCACATGGGTGGGACTGATTTGTATAAAGCAGCAGCTGGGGGCTATTTAAAGGTGAGGCCTGGCAGACCGTGTGTGAGTGTGTGATGGGCTCTCCCATTCCTGGCCTAACAGAAGTGCAAAGGATGGATGCCATCCATCACAAGCCTTGCTGCCTATATTTCATGGTCACCTTTCCTAGGATACAGCTTTACAACGGAGGCAAGCTGTCTACTCGGCCCAGGACTGTCTATTCAGGGGTGGGGAAGCACTTTTTGGGAGGCGCTCCAAAGCTGTTGGACTTCAACTCCCATAATCTCTGCCAACCAGCATGACTAATGGCCAGGGAGAATAGGAAGTGCAGTTCAACAACTAGAGGGCTACAGGTTGCCTGCCCGTGGTCTCTTTGAACAAGCAGCGGATCTCCAAGGTTGTAGAAATATTTCCCTCTTGCTACTGGAATTCCCAACAACCAGAGATGTGAAGAACAGAACTGGAGACCGTTTTTGTGCAGAGACCCTGCTCTGCCACTGAGCTACAATCTCTTTCTCCCTCCCACCCTCTGAATGTCCTTTATTCTTTGCCCGAACTATCAGGCAGGCAAACAGCTGCTGTGACTTATCCTGGGGCGCTTGAGAATGATTTCTATTCAGAGATTTCTTACCTGTAGTCAGAGGTGCTGCCGGCTAGGTTCATTAATAAATGTGAAGGGCTTACAAGTCATTACAGTAGGATTTGACCACAGGAAGCCATGGTGAAGTTGGTCAATTGGATGGTCAAATATTATTAGCGGAATGCATATATATCCCTTGACTATGGTCAGTTATTTTTATATTATTACAAATGTCAATACAACAATGATAATTATATTAACATTTAATATTGCTAAGAAGCCATCAGGAAGGTGATAAATCTTGTCAAGAATTCCGTGCAATCCAGATTTCCATCCTAGGTGTTATCCAGTACAAATTGTATGGCAGAAGGTTTTTTACTTCTCAATCCTGCAGAAGTCAAGGGTGTACAATGACCAGCTTTAGGCACAAAAAAGCTCCTTCCCTCAATATTCCCTACACATCTTCTTCTGTCTCCTTTCCCAGTTGAGCTAAGTGACCAAGCATGGTGGTCTTCTGGTTCTTGGCTCAATTGCTGGCATCTCAGATCGAGTGCCAAGGGGTCCTACTCGGCCAGCGTGAAGGGCAGGCATGGCTGGGCAGGCACTCCAGTTGAACCCCACTTACAAGAGCCCCTGGAGCTGCTCCTCCTCTTCCATATGGCAACCTGCTCCCTTTGCTGCCTCTCACTCTGGCCCAGGCATGGGCGCTTGTGCCTATCTGCTCACTGGCTCTCTGCTCGTGAGTGTGGAGGGAGCCCGTTGAGGACGTCCTTCCCACAGGCCCTCAAAAACCCAGAAATACACTATTGAGGGCAGTCATCTGCTTTGGAGAGCTAGAAGAGGACAGTCCTCTGTTTGAAGGTGCCATGAGGAAGTGTCCAGTCCAGGTCTGGTTCAAAGTCGAAGAACCAAAAGCAGGGAAAGCAGGAGAGGGGCCTTGAAGTTGTCCCTTATCAGTTAGCTTCTGGGCTGCAACTTGAACAGGGATGCAGCTCACATGGTTTTAGCATTCTCAATTTTGGTGAGATGTATTTGGTTTCTATTTAAATCATATCTATTATTTCTAGATGTGCAACTACCGTATATCTATTAATGTGCATGTGTAAATGTTATGCAGATCAGTGTTCTCTTTTTGGTGATGCAGTTCTTCTTCTCTGGCAATGCACAAGTGACCATTTTAATCTGGGACCAGGAACACAGATGGTGTCACAGGAAGCAGAAGAAAATATAGTCATCCCAGTGGAACAGATCTGAGATTGCCCAAATATTAAATGGGCAAATGGCTGGTTTTGTGATGCTGGCTTAAATTTCTTCCAACCTGTCTTTTGACAACAAAGCAGCTCACAAGATTTTAAAAAGCAATATGTAATACAACAACAACAAAACAAGTAGCAACTGGAACAATAGTAACATAAGCCACAACAACAGGAGGGAAAAAATAAATTCTTAAGGCAGAGCAAAATCCTGCAAAAACAGTAATGTCTTCACTGTTCATCTGAAGGCCATAAGAAAGGGAGCCAGTCAGGCTTCTCAAAGGAGGACCTTCCACTGTCTTGGTGCCACCATGACCAAGGCCCTGTTGCATGACCTGTGCAGGCAACCTTCTGCGAGCAGCAGAACATGGAGCAAGGCAAAGCATGCATGTGCAAATCCAAGGAATTGTGCTGTAAATGCGAGGTTGTACATTCAGTTCCAGTCAGTGGCTGGAATGGACTAATGGTAGCCCCTTTCCCCTGTCTCCTGTGTGCCAGCCATGTGCCAAGCAATTCGTATAATTGTCCTATTTATTTATTTATTTATTTATATTTTTTCGATTTATATCCTGCCTTTTTCCTACAAAGGGCTCAAGGCAGCTTACATCATTCTCCTCCTCCATCTTCTCCCCACAACAACAACCCTGTGAGGTAGGTTGGGCTGAGAGTCTGACTGGCCCAAAGCCACCCAGTTGGCTCCATGGCTGAGCGGGGACTCGAACCCAGATCGTCTAAGTCCCAGTCCCAGGCTCTTCACCACTACACCACACTGGCTCTCTATCTGCACATGGTTTCCCCATCATTTGATCCCAGCAAGTGGCTTCAAAGCCACTCCAGAGTCCTACAGCAGGCCATGAGTGCTTGGCTGGTTCTGAAACCTTCCCCTCTGAACACCTTCCTGCGTTCAGACAAAACAGGAAGCTATGATGGTAGGTAGGCATGTTGCATGGCACAGGACTGGTACATGCAGGGGCTGGAAAAAGAAGCCAGTGGGGCCAAATGTCTGTTTCTTAATTTTAGCCTCTTGGGACTTTCTTTTGGAGGATAGAAGGGCAGTGTGTGCTCACACACACGCACCATTCCCAATGCCAGGATCTTTTTGAGACTCTTCCTGTACAGGCGAAAAAAGCAGCTGGTGTGCAAATTGTATCTTTACAACTAGAGATGAAATTTCTAAAAAGACAATTTCTCTGAAAAAAATCTGAGATTTTCTCACGTCACCCCTCCAAAGCACTCAAAGTGCCAAATCTTCTCTGAATAGGATGCGGCAGCCACCATTTCTGTACCCCTCACCAGGTCCAGCGCACTATAGGGAACATAAAATGACAGCATGCAGACACACAAACACCTGGGAAAAAAGGAAGCTGTGCTACTGCCACTGCCGCTTGTGAGCCCACTCCTGAGAACTTAAGGAAAGAGGTGCCCTGTACATTGTATCATTCAGTGTAGGATGAGTGGAACAGGAAATGGTTTCTTGTCTGTGTCTGTAATATCAACAACACTTAGCATTTGTGTAGGTGTATCAGGTGCTCAGAAAGCTTCAAATGCATTATCCGGTGGTAATGCTCAGAAATTTGCCCTTACACTGCAGATGGAGAAGTGGAACTGAGGCTGCGAAAGGCTGCTTCCAGACAGGGGGCCCCAGCCTAGCAAGCAGAAAGCACCCTGCAGGTGTTTTGTCTTTTTCTCCTTAACTGATTTTCTGCTTTCAGAAGAAAGACCAGTGAAGCACTGGGGGAAACATAGGAGGGTTACAAGCAGAAGATGTCATCATTTGACTCCTTTGTAAACTCCTATGGATGAGATAAGGTAATGGCAGGAAAACTTCTAAGGTACCATTACCACGTGGTCTGGAACACACAGGTGGGGAGGGGGGAGAGATTTGCCTAAAGCCACCAGGTACCTTCATGTCAGAGGAAGCATTTGAACCAGGGGCCTCCTAACGCGCTTCACTCCCTTAGCCACCACACCACACCAGCTCTCAAAGCTCGGCGGGGTCCCCAACCTCTCCGCATATGGCCTGGGATAGCGATTCCCTGCTCCTTTCCGGGAACAGGCTGCAGTGTAGGTAAGGCTGCTGTCCCAAGCGTCCCACACTCAGCCCTTTGCTGCAAACTTGCTCCCGGTGTTTTCCTTCTCGCGGAGACTCCGGCTGCCGCGCGAGGAGGAGGCAGCAAGCATATGCTAGCCCGGCACACACTTTGATCCGGGCTCGTCCTTGCTGGAGGCACCGGGGCGCTGATGTCGGAGCCGCTCCTCGCGCGTCACTCAGCGAGCCGCCTCCCTCCCCGCTGATGTCAGAGAGGCCTCGGCGCGCGGCGCGGATTGGCTGCGCCGGGCGAGGGGCGGGCGCCGCCGAAAGGTGAGTGCGCGAGGAAGCCGCGGTGGAGGTGTGCGCGAGGGCGGCGGCGGCGGCGGGGCTTGCCGAGGCGGGCGAGGGCTGCGTCCCTCAGGCATTCGGGAAGACCGGTCGGCAGCAGGGCAGGGGCTGGCTGGGCTCGGGGAGGCTCTCGGGACAGCTTGCCCATGAGGAGCAGGCTCGGGAGAAGGGAGGAGGAGGAGGAGAAAGAAGAAGGCAGGCTGTGAGACTTGGCTTCCTTTCCTGGACTGAGAGCAAGCCCAGACACCTGATCCTGCTATGCCCACGGAAATCTCTCACGCTGTGAGAATGCATGCCATCTCCGGCTTCCACTCCTCGCTGACGGCGCGGCTCCTCCACAAGGGTCCGGAATACCTTCGCAAGCAGATGGAGGCAGGCACCCCTGGCAGGAGGAGTGCCGTGGAAAGGCTGGCAGCAGACAAGGCCAAGTACGTGAAAAGCCAGCGAGTCAGCAGCGGCACGAAGCAGGAGCCGGCCGTCCCGCACAGCTCAGCCTCCGAGAGCAGCAGCGAACTCTGTTCTGTGGAGACTAAGAGAGTGAACCCGCTGGGTGAGGGGCACGAGGCCAACTCCAAGGTGAACAGCACCCCCGATTCTGGCCCTGCTCCCCTTGAGCAAGGCCTTCCTATAGCCAGGCGCAGCAGCGCCAAGAGGCCCATCCGGCCGGACTCCTTAGTGATCTATCGCCAGAAATGTGAGTTTGTGAGAGGTCAAAGCCACGAGAGTCTGCGTGGGAGTTTGGTTCGAAGGCTCTTCCCAGGCTCTTCTAAGGAAAAGCAACTGGCTTCTGAGAGCTCCAAAGTAATTCTCAAGGAGGATGTCCCCCCGGAAGCAGAAGGGCCCGTTTTGGTCAAAAATTCAAGCCATAATCTTGACCTGCAAGGACAGAATGCAGCCCCCAACACAACACCAGCAGCTGTTCTCACCAGCAGATGTGAGAATGCCCCTAAACTGACTGTAGCCCCTTATGAGGTAAAGGAGGTGAGGCGGCAAGGTCTGCATCGGTCCCAGTCAGACATCAGCTCTCGCTATTCAAAATCTTTCTCTGAGTTTGACACTTTCTTCAAGTACTGTGGCCTTGAACCTGAGGTGATAGAGGACCTGGGCCAAGAGAACTTTTCAGTGGCTTCTGACAACTTCTCCTTCCGCATCCGCAGCATCAGCGTGGCAACATCTGAAAGTGACTTCACGAGGCACAGTGGCGACGATGGACTCCTGGAAGAAGAACTCACAGAACAGGTTCCATCCGGCACCTCCGTGATTGAGCGCAATGCTCGGATCATCAAGTGGTTGTACACGTGTAAGAAGGCCAAGGAGACAAACGCCTTACCACAGGAGTTTGAGTGAAGATGGCTCACTTCAGCATATTTTGTAGCCAGGTCAGTGTCTTGGGTGTGCAAAGCCTTACTGTGTCTGTTTTTATGACCTTACATTGCTGTATTCATATGGAGGAGGGCTTCTCCTCACAATGGGCACCTCCATCCACCCCATGGAAAAGACCCAGTTTGTCTACAATGCTGAGAAACATAAATCATGGAGGGCGGAAACAATGCTGACAGAGAGGAAGTATACACATTAGCCTTCCTCAGGCTGGTGCCCTCTTATGTTTTGGACTTCAACTCTGATCAGCTCCAGCCAACATGACCCATGGTCAAGCATGCTGGGAGTTGTAGTCCAAAGCATCTGGAGGATGATATAGGATGATAGGTTATGCCACCTGTTGAATTTTCCGTTCCTAATTCTGGGCTGATCAGTGTCACCAGTAAGTTACACTATTGTTTCTCAGGAATAGTGTTTTGTTTTCTCTTGTAACTGACTTTATTCTTGTAAACTGACTTTTCAAAAGCCATGTGCTCTGATAGAGTGTGATCAAGACCTCAGAAGAAAGTTAAAGTCGACCTTAAAAACTGATGTTTGCATATCGCACTGGCTGTCTGAGGGTGCTAGATTCACAAATGGCTTATTGACAGTAATCTGTGCTCTGTTAATGGGAAACCTAGAAATTTGCTTGTGCTTTCATTTTATTCAATTAAGATAAACCAACTGCAAGCAAATTGGAAAGGCTGGCTGTTTAGGAGCTGTCCATCTTGTCCCCTGCTTTCTTTCTCTGCCCCATCCTCCTTCATTCAACGAGAAATTAAGTATCTGTCAGCCTCTCTTCTTCTTCTTTCACACTTCAGTTCACTCAACGAGCGATATGACTCCTCTCGTATTGCCATAACAGCTCATGCCAGCCACTTCCTGGCATTTCGCATTCTCTGATCTGCTGAGAACTGGAATTTCTCTTGCTCCCTGATTTCATTTAAATGGTGCTGGTCTAATTGGTGGGTGTAGATGACATGTCTGCACCAGTGCTGAAAGCAGATTTTGAATGTTAAGTTTGCAGTTCTCAGGACTATTGATTGAAAGCATGCCCTAATAAGCACGACAGGACTTTCTTCCAACCAGGATGTTAACCTGCAATCCTAGGTATGCTTCCTTCCAAGCAAGTTTCACTACAATCAGGCCCCACTTCCAGTGTGCTCATGATGAGGGTTTAGTCACTGCCTTGTAACTGAAGAGATCTTAAAAGAGAAGCTCCTTTTAAAATGCAGAAGACCAGTCATTTGGGAAGGGCAGGCCTTGCCTGTGCTGATTCTATAGAAGGCTGGCTCACACACTTCATGCAGGCAGCCATGGGCTTTGTGTGGCCAGATGTGTGCCCATGATCTTGAGAAGAGGTACTGGTATGACCCAAGAACAGAGAGGTGTTGTTCCAGTGATGCCCGTGATTGCACTACCTGAGAAAACAATGCAGAAATTGTTGCCCTGAATTCTCATGTGCATCCAAGTTCATACCAGTGTTTCCATAATGATGAGGGATCGGACAAGTATGGACAGGTCGTTTGTAGAAGGCACCGACTGAGAAAACTGACGGTGGATCAAGGCAAGGGATCCATGTATCTGAAAAAGTGACCGGGCACCAAACTCCTGTTGCCTGCTGCCACTCAGTTTACACCTGCACACGTGGGTTAGAAGCTGCTGTGATTCCTTTTGCTCCAGCTCTGCTACCCCGTCATGCCAATGATGGCACCCATGTGCGAAAGAAGCTCTGCATTGGCTGTGACTGCCCCGCTCTCTTCAATGTCAGGAACATGCTTGGGGCATGCAATTCTTCTTGTTTCCAGCCACAGCCGAGTGCTGATGGGCTGCCGCACATGCAATCACAAAATGACAACACTCCATCCTCCCTGCCATCCAGAACAAGGTTTCAAATTAAACAGCTTATTCAGTGTTTGTTGGTATAATGGCTAAACAAACAAGCAAAAACCTCACCAAATAAACTGATCGGTTAAACACACCAGGTGAGTGTGACTATATGCATCCTTTGGCTGGGAGAGAGCAGGTAACTGGTGTCCCTTTCAGTGTGGCGGAATCAAAGCCACTGCACTGTGTTCAACTCAGCAAGACCTACAGGTAGGCTTGGCATTTCTGGTACCTGATGTAAAAGGCAAGATACCCCCCTCTCTTATTCCACAGTCTTTATTTATTTATCGATGTATATCCTGCCTTTTTCCTACAAAGGGCTCAAGGCAGCTTAGATCTCCTCCTCCATCTTATCCCCACAACAACAACCTCATGAGGTAGGTTGGGCTGAGAGTCTGTAACTGGCCCAAGTTACCCTGTTGGCTCCATGGCTGAGCGGGGACTAGAACCCGAATCGCCTGAGTCGCAGTCCCACGCTCTTCACCACTGCACCACACTGGCTCTAATCCAACTGGATGGGCTCAGCGTCCTTCACCGCACCCTTCCAGGGCAGGTGCCTAGTACAGGGGAAGCTGGAATGAAGGACCCATGGAAACAGGAGGAGAGCTGCTGCTCTGCCTGCAGCACCTGTCACCTGAGGTAGATGCCTCCCTACATGTTCTGGTAGGGTCAGCCCTGCCCATAAACCTCTCATTAACTCAGTTGTGAACCATATGCAGGGCTGGCAGGATGCTCATAAAAGCACACCTGCTCTTTCCACCGTCTAGCTCTAGGAACCCACCTCTTTTTGAGGGAGGCAGTAACTTGCAAAAGAAACAGCAAACAGCTGCTGCCTGGTCACTCAGCTGACAGGGGAGTTCACAAGTAAAGGAATTTGCAGTGGTGACCTTCCCTGTCTCTCCCAGCAAATAACCTCCAAGACTGACACAGAGGGGCAGCTGCAAGAGGGACCTAGCAGGGAAGGCATTCAGGTAGAGGTGCAAGAGGGCTGGAATAGTAAGAAAGCCCCTGCTTCCTGTTGTCCAAGAGTTACTGGCAGGCTGCACGGGTTACACTTGAATAACAAAAGGTACATTTGACAGAAGTATGGTTAAGGATTGCCAGAGCTGTTTAGTTGCAGAATGATCCACATGGAGCAGAGCTATGCAAGAGATGGTTTACAAAAGGGCTAGCAGCTCCCCCCTCCAAGCAGAACCTATGAAAGCTAAGTTCTTATCTTCTGGCCTTCCATTAGTCCCTTGCCTCTCGTCCTCTCCTATCATGAGCAGCTGTTACAACAATCCTTGTTTAGTTCACTGATTTCACTTCCCAAAAGTGCAACCTTGCAATTACTTTTCTCTATGAATATGCATGTTTTTAAGTAAACCAGTTGGGGCAGTTCACAGCAGTTTAAAATGACAATACCATAAAGTTCAATAAGAGCATATTAAAATACAATAAAAGCAGAGATGACAAATAAAACACAAGCTTTATTTAAAAAACAATTAGATAAAACAAAGTCTAGAAATAAATTGTAAAATACACCTTTTGCATTTTAATGTACAGATAAAACATATATAAATGTGAGGCAATTTAATCCCACAGAAGTAATTTGAATGGAAATTCAGTCTTCCTCAGCTTGGTGCCCTCCAGATGAACAGGAGTACAACACTCACCATCCCCAGCCAGGATGTCCATGCTGCTAGTCTGACACATCTGGAGGGAGTTAAGGTGGGAAAGTCTGGTTTAGATCCATTCTGAGGATGAAGTGCTACAGAAGTCCCAGATCGACCAGAGGGAAAACAGGGCCTCTTTCTTATTACTACCCAATTGGTTGGCTATGATTGCCCCCTTAGGAATAACTTGATGACAGCCTGCATCAGGGTGGACAATGTGTGGCCCTCCAGATGTTTTGGCCTTCAATTTCCATACTCCCTCTTCACTGGCTATACAAGGTAGGGCTTGTGGGTATTATAGGCCAAAAGATCTGGAGGGATATTTATGGCAGTGTTAATGTTGGGGTTGTTCTTGCATGCATGCATGCATGCATGCATGCATGCATGCTGAAATATTTGATAAGCACAAAACTAGGAAGTTAAATGCTCTCTAGCATTTTCTCCTAAAGTTAGCAGAATGCCTGAGACTGGATTCCAATTACAGCTTTCTTTTTAGCAAAGCAAAATTTCTACCTTTCTTCATGGAGAATATGACTAAGCAAATATCCGTCTAATATGGTCTCCACCCTTCTGACAGAAGCTTGCTGCCTGGGGTGATGGACCCAGTGTGGTCCAACACATCAAGAAACCACCAGATTGGGGAAGACTGGGCTAGAGAACTGAAACAGGCCAAAGCGGTTGGGCAGATTCCTGATTAGGAAGCAGCCTCAGAGGGATTAACAGTCCCCCCAGGAATGCAACAGAACACAGCGCCATCCACAGTAGGGGTCTTGATTTAGCACAGGGACAGCCAGCCTGCAACCCTTTATGGCATTTAAGCCAAGTTCATGTGGCCCACAGCCTAATGTCAGAAGTCTCTCCACAGAACTGGTTCAGACAAGAATGATGTGACCTTTTTCTTGGTGAACTACAGGAAGGGAAGAAAAAGAGAGGAATAAAGAGAGAAAAAAGGATGGTAGAAAGAATAAATGGCTAACCTACGCATTTTTGGCTCTAGCCCTGCATACTCCCAAGATGTAGATTAGCAGCAATAGAACATGGCCCTTGGCAGAAAAAAAGGTTGCCCACTGCTGCTTTAGCAATCATATTAAGAATGCTTGTAGAAGGTATACCCAGGTATACTCTACAGTATATTATTTGGTACCTGGTGGCTGCTTGGAGACGTTTGAACAAGCTGCTAAGTTAAACAGCCAGTGAAGCAGTATTTCCAGTATTACTGGAAGTTATTACTGATGGACTGGGGAAAGGCAACATTCCCTATGGGAGCGCCAACAGGGGAAGAAAAATGGCGGCAGCACTACAGAAGGACGCCTGCCCCAATCACTGTTCCCAGATAGAGCCTCCCTCTCACCCTGCAGTCAGTAGCTGCAGAAAGGGGAGGCCACAGAGAGAGAAACAGCTAGACATAGGGCTGGGATAATATCAGGCTTTGCAGGCTTGACCTTGAGATCTGGATAAATCCTTTTGGAGGATCCAAG